TGCTTATAAATCTTTATAGCCTACCTAGATTATAAAAGGATTAAATTTACTGGACTAATTTTGCTATTAATTTATTTTTATGCATTTGCAAACGTGACACTGTCTTCCCCTTATTCATCATTTTTTACTGTCATGAGGATTTAAATGAGTTTTTTGAGATTGATTGGTTCCCAGGCCTATCTGGTTTCCTGGATCCTGAAGCAATATTGATGTCAAACAGTTATCTTGAAATATTTCCAACAGAGAGTAAAGTTTCTGCCTTTTTGGATTTTGAGGGTAACTTGTGGAAGAAGCATGCAGAAGAAATGAAGCTTTTTACTTATCTCAAAGTTTTGTCGATGTTCTATTCTTTTAAACCTCTGTGAGATATTTTGTTGTGGTGCTATGTTTTCTATCCTTTTTATCTCTGAAAATAGCATTCCCATTTACTCTAATCAAAGGAAGAAAAATATATGGTTGATGAAACATAAAGAAGTTATTTGGCTGCCAATTTGGACATAAATATGTTATAAAAAGTAGCAAACTACTGTTGTCTTTCTGCTTCTATTCAGGTATAATGAATACTGTAACAGTTCAGATAACTAAGATAAGAGTATCACATTTATACTTTTCCAGTTTTTAGTTGCAATGAATACAATAGAACTTGTTCAGAATCATATTAATAGTATTTTTATCTTATTTATAAATCCTTTTTTTAGTCTACCCTTTCGCCTCTCCTTTTAGGTAGAGTACTGGATGTCTTCATAATCTTTCCAAACCATATTTTCTTAAAATATGCTCATTCTCTTCCAATTTTATATATTTTAAAGATTAAGTTGAGCAACTATATCTTTCAGATGAATTATATTTCAGAATATGCTGTCTCATCTTCAAGACAGTCAGTTTAAACTGAGGGACTCTTAGAAATAGCAGAGCTTCTAAGCGCTGAAAATATTTTGGTCTAATTTAGACATTAAAGCATCAATTTTAAATATTGTTTAAAAAACTGCCTTACATTTTAAATGTTTTTTTCTTCTTTCACTTAATTTTCAGAATAATTGAAGTAAATCAAAATCAAAAGCAGGTGGAACAGGATATTAAAGTTGCTATATTTACATTGATGGTAGAAATAAATAAAAAAGGAAAAGCTCTACTGCATCAGCTAGAGGTAAGTTATTACCCATGGGACAATATGTTGTATCAATTCAACATAGTACTTGTAAATATGAAATCATTATCACTTTTCATATAATTGTTTACATTTATGATTCGATAAGGTTTTTTTTTCCATTCCAAATTTTTCCTTTGCCAGGTTCTGCATTGTAGCCAACAATTTTTAGCTCTATATTAGGCTATTAAATATGAAATGTCCAATTTCCGTAAGTACTATATTTGACAGTTACTATCTCTGACATTTCACTTTGACACTTATTTTATTTTGATTGTGAAGGTACATCCTCAGTCTTTCAAATACATATTTTGGCTTATAATCTTTCAAATTCTTTTAGAGCAATTTTTGTGAAACCATGGATAAATCAAAAATTCATGTTATTTTTTTTAATATGAGTTCCATCATGGAACCAGTGTGCAGTGCAGACAGCTCAAAAAATGTCAACCAGGTGTTTGAGAAGGATGTGGCTAATGAACGCATAGTCCGTTGATGGTTTGAGAAATTCCATTCTGGTGATTTTAATCTTGAAAATAAGCCATGTGGGTGACCTGAGACCAACATGGATAAAGATCAGCTGAAAGTTGTAGTGGAAGTGAACCCATTTCAACCTACACGTGAATTAGCAAGGTTTGACATTACCATTCTAATAACATTGGACCATTTGAAACCAATCGTCAAGGTAAAGAAACTGGATAAATGGGTTCAACATGAATTAAATGAACATAAGAAGAGAAATCATCTCGAAGCTTGCCTTTCTTTGCTGTCACTACCTAAAGGAAAACCATTTCTACACCATTTCGTTCACGTGTGATGAAAAGTGGATTCTTTTTGACAATCACAGGCGTTCAGCACAATGGTTTGATGAAGATGGAGTGCTGAAACATAGGTCAAAACTGAATATTCATCAAAAAAAGTGAATGGTGTCTGTTTGGTGGTCCAATGCTTGTATTATCCAGTACAGCTTCACGAAACCTAGTCAGTCAATTGCAGTGGATGTGTACAAATTGGATGAAATGATGAAGATGCTTGCGTTTAAGCATCCAAGATTGGTCAATAAAGGCAGGTCAATCCTCTTGCAAGACAACGCTGTACCACATGTCACACAAACAATGCTGCTCAAACTGCAGAGGCTGGACTGAGAAACTCTCTGTCATCCACGGTATTCACCAGACTTTGCACCAACAGACTACCCCTCTTTCAGGCTTTGGACCACTTCTTGCAAAGAAAAATATTCAGTTTTCAACAAGCTGTGAAAAACACTTTTCATGATTTCATCACCACCTGCTCTCCGGGTTTCTTTGCTGCTGGCATAAACAAGCTACGGTTAAGATGGCAAAACTGTCAATAGTTTAGGTGCATGCTTTGATTAATTGTACTGCTTCCTGTTTAAGATATGATAAACTACACTCATGATTGGAAATGGGACATTTCATATTTAATGACCTAATAGTACACTAGGAATACCTTAACTGCTCATTGTTTGCTTCATAGCACAAATCACAGTGCCTTGCTTGTAGGAGGAGCTCTGAATGTTGAAGAGATGAGTCATTTTTGATATTCACTGGAGTGGTATCACCAGAGGGGTGTAGTTGAGCAAAATTTTCTAGAAAGATACACTGGCAGTTATATTTAGTTCCCAAATTTATACATTTAACCTTATAAGCAAAAGAATGTGCCTCCTGCCCTCAACATTTTATAGTTATATGCTCAAGGCACTTAGGATAGTTGCAGCTCACTGTGGGTAGGAAAAATATTACTATCTTCACCAGTTTTTTTTTTTTTTTTGAGACAGAGTCTCGCTCTGTTGGCCGGGCTAGAGTGCTGTGGCGTCAGCCTAGCTTACTCTAACCTCAAACTCCTGGGCTAAAGTGATCCTCCTGCCTCAGCCTCCCAAGTAGCTGGGACTACAGGCACGCATCAGCGCACCCGGCTAATTTTTTTTGTTTCTATTTTTAGTTGCCTGGCTAATTTTTTATTTTTAGTAGAGATGGGGTCTCGCTCTTGCTCAAGCTGATCTCAAACTCCTGACCTCAAGCAATCCTCCCGAGCCTTGGCCTCCCAGAGTGTTAGGATTACAGGGGTGAGCCACCTCGCCTGGCCTTCACCAGCTTTTTAAAGCTCTTGAAGGTCAACATCCAAACTCAGTGTTTGACCTCAAATAATACGAGGTTACAACATCTATGTGGTATATTAATGTATAATATTAATCGTATGATCTTTAGATATTCTTTTTAGTATTTTGATACAGAAAGAATTCACAGTACAGAAACAATTTGGAATGAGAATTTGAACATCCTAATGTTTGGCAATTTGAAGAAAAGTGAGACTCCTAGAAATAATTTAGTCCATCTTCTTTATTTCATAGTTGACCAAACTGTAAGGTCTCTGTCAAAAAGTTCTATCCCTTATGGCAGAGTATGGTCATTCCCATTGTTTATCAGCCATACAGGAAACAATGACTAAAATAATTTTCTTTTCTATTGGAGACATAGTTATTTAGTAAGGAAGTATTTTGGGCAAGAGGGTGCGGACTCCATTTATAGTAGCTATTTTTTCAGGGTTCTGTGATTTTTTTAAAATTTAATAGAAACATTTAAGCAAAATTTTAAAGGTTTCTAAGCTCTACTTAAAAATCAAATGTCACTGTGATTTGCTTTCCCAGACATTAGTAGTGCATACATTGTTGTGGCTATGTTTTCAAACTTGACTATGCATCAGAATCACTTGAAGAGCTTTAAAAACAGATGAAGAGAAAAAGATGACCATACTTGCGAATCTATAGGAATGAACCTGGTATTATTTTTGATCAGCTTTGACTTAGAATTTTCACAGTACCTTTTAAATATGCATCTAATCCTCGTACCTATTCTTCTGGTTCAGATTCCCTTTTTAAGGCAAATAAATGTAACCAGTTTTATCTGCTGAGACTCACAAGAAAAGTGTTCAAATAGCTTTTACCATAGAAGACCAAGAAGCCGGGGCTTTTAATTCTCAATTTGCAACCTCCCCCAAAGTCAACAAAATTTCTATTCCTACTAGAATGTTTCCAAAGCAACACTTTGTTCTTACAGGGGTAAGAAATAGCCTAATAGGTAAATTTTCTTCTGTCTGAATTTAAATTAGATACGACAAAGCCATTGACTGTTAATAGTTCCTTAAATAGACAAACTCACCGCATTTCCCCTCTTAATTTATCCTGTGTATTTTCCAAATCTGGAGCTGACTAGGGCCAGGATCTAGGTTCACTTTTAATTGAGAACATAAGTTCCCATTGGAGTGTGGCAATTTTCTAATTTGTCTGAGTCAGTAAAAAGTCCTCTTTCTCTTCCCCTCTCCTTACCAGTCTAGGAAGAGGTTTTTGGATAGGGACCTTTAAAATAAACCAATTTTGGTGCTATTATTCTTTTATGTAGCTTTTCTTAGAGTGCATTGGCACAATTATTCACTGCATCTATTGGCTTCCATGATAGTTCTCAATGTACAGAAATAATATGATGCCTTTTTAAAAATTAGCAAATGCAAAGGATAAGTATTATCTACAATATGGCACAACTCTGGGCACAAACTAGTTGCAATTGCAATTAGAATTCCTAGAAGGTAAAATCATATGATTGAGTAAATTATGTGATCTGGTAACTTTACTAGATTGCTTCATGGTACATCTATTTTATTTGTGAGTGTTGAATTTAGCAGACATTGACTGTATTAAAGTTAAGCCATTCTCTTTCATATTACAAGATGCATGAACAGAGACCTAAATCCCAGAATATATAAAAGCATATCCAGTGGCCAGGGGCACATTTGGGACATAGTTTTTTCCTGTAGGGAGAGTGACCCTTTGTACTAAGGGGGAAAACACTAAGAGTATTTTCAGTCTGTCAACTGTAAACTAAGTACTTAGAAACTGTACTTATTATAATTTGGTTCTCTAAAAATGACCATTAAAATATATGTTAACATGCAGATATTAATTTAGATATTTTCTTTCCAGAGCCTTGCAAAAGACCATCGTATGAAACTTATGCAACAACAACAGGAAGTGGCTGGACTTTCCAAACAATTGGAACATGTCATGCATTTTTCTAAATGGGCAGTTTCTAGTGGCAGCAGTACAGCATTACTTTATAGCAAGCGACTGGTAAGATAAAGTATGGTATTTAGCATACTGTAAAAATGCATAGTGAAACAATGGAGTCATTGGAATGCTTAAAATTCAGTCTGTTGGTGCATAAGTACTTTTTTACATATTTCTGATTTTTATTGGTCAGAATATTTTGGGTTTAAAAAATATTTTTAAACTGAGTGGGGTAGTGCATGCCTATAATCCCAGCACTTTGGGAGGCTGAGGCAGGAGGATCACTTGAGCCCCCCCCAGGAGTTTGAGACCAGCCTGGGCAACATAGCAAGACTCCATTTGTACAAAAATATCAAAAAATTGTGTGTGTGGCCAGGCGTTGTGCCTCACACCTGTAATCTCAGCACCCTGGGAGGCCAAGGCTTGGGAGGATCGCTTGAGGTCAGTTCAAGACCAGCCTGAGCAAGAGTGAGACCCCAGCT